GTCTCGCTCCACCAGAGTCTATACTGATGCTTGCTATTAGTTCGACTCGGAGCGTGCCATTGTATGATTGCATTCTTCGTCTGCAACCTAGCCCGGGCAGGATTCTTGAATCAGGAGGCGTTCACAGATCTTGCAGCTACAGCAGTGCATCGTCGGCCGAACGGCTGCACCTTCATGTAGGGGTGATGCACCACTGCCTATTGTACCGTACTCTGCTGCGGTCACGAAGCGATATTCATACAATGGCAGTCGGTGAAGCCGTATATCCTCCGATTCCTAGCCTTACATTATGAGTTCACTGAACATTCAGCATGCATATCCTCCGTAACTCGACATGACATGATATCATGGCTTTTGAACTGGCCTGTGGTTGTGATGTACTGTACATACACTCAACTCTATTCCGTATATCCGCTGGCCTCATTTAACTTTTGGCATTGCAGTTGCCTCGGCTTGCATCAGAAGTCAGGATGCCTGTTACCTCACGTCAATGACTCGGACTATACGGAGCAATCCGCTCACCTTTCCACGCCAAATAGAACCCAAATTGGCACCAAGTAATGGATATTGTCTCGAGAATTTACCTACCCAACGCAGGTTTGGGCTCTCACCGAACAATGGCCGCTATATGTGTACTGTAGACTCTGAATTGTGAAGGCAAGTCAGCACCCAATATCTGGATCTGGGATACTTCGACTCTTCTGGACTTGACGATATGATCAGTGTGTGCGTCGAGCATCTGATTCCATACTTCGTACTGCTGGCGAGGCATCCACAAGTTTAAACCTTAAGACCACGGCGGCGGGCTCTGTGACGGCGCTAACCTCTTTGGGAAGCAAGATCTTCTGGCCCGGCCCCGGGTTCTCGAACTTCCCCTCCAACGCACTACATTCACTAACCAGCCTGGATATCCAGGTCCCAGGACGCGCGCGTGTATCTTCATGGATCATCTATAGAGCTCTGACTCGACGCAGTACGTCTCACTTTGGATTTTCTGGCCTACAGTCATCGCCCCTCAATCCGCCATGACACTGTTCTATTCGCTATGTCACGCTCTTCCCCGGAACCGACTTTTTCGTCCAGCGATCCCTTGAGACCCGAGTCTCAGTTCACCTATCGCCAACTCCAGCTTCTTAGGCAAGGCTCGACGGCGACGCCTCTCCGCGTGATCGCGCACGTGGATCTCGATGCCTTTTACGCCCAATGCGAGATGGTGCGGCTGGGCACGCCACGCGACGTGCCCCTCGCCGTACAACAATGGGACTCGCTCATCGCCATAAACTATCCCGCCCGATCCTTCGGGATCACGAGAATGATTTCCGCTGGGGAAGCCAAGAAGCTCTGCCCCGACATTGTCCTGCAGCATGTTGCAACCTTCCGAGAGGGCGAGGGCGGGAAATGGGCTTACCGCGACGACGCTTTCACGCGGGTGGGCACGGATAAAGTGTGCTTGGATCCATACCGGGCGGAGTCACGCAAGATCCTCAAGGTGATGAAGGAGGAACTATCCCGCTGGCATGCGAAGATATCCGGCGAGGGACTCGTGGGCGCGTCCATACCGCAACCTGGTCTTGAGAAAGCCAGCGTTGACGAAGTGTTCATGGACTTGTCGCCGATTGTGTATGGGATCTTGCTTGAGCGGTACCCTGAACTGCGCGCCGGGTCACATATCGATGATCGAGTTGCGCGGCTGCCCACCCCGCCGACGACTGCATTGGCGTGGAGCGCGGAAGATTGCTTGGTCGATCTGGACGAGAACGAGACGGAGGTGGATGACCCGGACTGGGACGACGTTGCCATTCTGATCGGCTCGGAGGTTGTGCGCGCGGTTCGCAAAGCTGTTTGGGACAGTCTTGGTTATACCTGCTCCGGGGGAGTTGCGAGGAACAAGATGATGGCGAAACTTGGAAGCGCCTGCAATAAGCCCAATAAGCAGACGATAATCCGGAATCGTGCGGTACAGAACTTCCTGGGAGGGTTCAAGTTCACGAAAATTCGGATGCTCGGGGGCAAACTTGGGGATCAGGTCACTGCCATGTTTGGAACAGAGCAGGTGAGTGATCTGTTGAAGATCCCGCTGGAACAACTCCGAGCCAAGCTGGATGATGATACCGCCACATGGCTGTACGGTATCATCCGAGGCGACGATCGAAGTGAAGTCAACTCTCGAACGCAGATCAAGTCCATGCTCTCGGCTAAATCGTTCCGACCGAGCATCAACAATCTCGATCAAGCGGAGAAGTGGCTGCGCATTTTCGCAGCTGATATCTATGGTCGTCTCGTCGAGGATGGCGTGCTGGAACACAAGCGTCGCCCGAAAACAGTGGCTTTGCATCATAGGCAAGGCGCCCAGGTCCGCTCACGACAGATCCCAATTCCAGGATCATCGCCAATTGATGAGGACCTGCTCTTCAGCCTTGGCTTGACGCTTTTCCGACAAGTCATTGTCGACGGGCGCGCATGGCCCTGTGCAAACCTTTCTCTGAGCGTTGGTGGGTTCGAGGACGGGGTATCCAAAAACAAGGCAATCGACTCCTTTCTCCTTCGAGGGGAGCAAGCGAGGTCTGCACAGAATACTCGGTCCTTGTCGAGTGACGATCTGATGGATGCTCAACAACCGAACGAGAAGCGTCTCAAGACCGAACCCGACGGTATTCGACGGTTCTTCGCTAAGCCCTGGGGGGGTGACGCGTCGCCTCCGGCCACTGAAACAAGCCTAGCTGAGACATTACAAAGTTCAGAGGTTGAACAAGCTGCTAGGGACACTCCGCCAGATGATGATGCACGAAACTCCGCTGACGCTTTATCCTACTATTCCTGCAGTCGGTGCGGCAAGTCGGTTCCTGAGCTTGAGAGAGCTGAGCATGACGACTGGCACTTTGCGAAAGACTTGGTAGCCCAAGAGAACCAGGCCACACGAAGCTCCCCGCAGACTCAAGCATCACCACCTAACCTCGGAGCATCTCACTCACGTAGCCGGGGTGGTCGTAGTGGTCGTGGTAAGCCCGAAAGGGGACAGACCCGCTTGAATTTTGGGTAGATCGCTATATACTGGCTTGGCAATGTCTTGAAAGCTTTCGAGGATATTGATTGGACTGTGGAGCTCATTAGCTGCGATTTCATTCAGAGATTGATGTTAATACTTTGTGGCAGCATTTCCAGCCAACGCCACTTGACGGAAGGTCAATATATAGACCGAGGACAGCCCATGGCCGGCTGTTAAACCATCTGCTCAGTCACTATCCATGGCAAAGGCAAACACGCTAGAATGGCCTTAATAATAACGTCGCATAGCCTTCGGGTCTTTTCATTGCCCCTGGATCGCATTATCAAGAGCGCGCCATAGACATACTACAACACATACAGCTCATCTCTTTGATAGTCTATAGACTAAACAAGGAACTACATATGACAATCTATGCCTGATTTTGGTGATTTTGCATCTCACTGAACTAGTATTTAGTCAGTCACTTAGAGATCTTTATCTTTCGAAGCCTACTTTTTCTACATGTCCTTTACAGCCTGTGGTGGTGTAAGTGTATAATCGAGGAGACCACCCGTCATTATATAAACTTCCGGTCCCAGGCGGGAGCGTCAACCATGGTCCACAGTGAGCCCACTTCATATCTTTGACGCAAAACATCCACCATTGCAACCAAACGATCTTGATACCAAGAGCAACGAATGTATTGTGTACTTACACCACTACACCACTCCAGCATCACACTCAAGTCGCATGAACCTGGCCACGGGTGCGAGCGAGCCCATGGGCCCGACAAGGCAGCCCACTGCAGCATGACATCAGCCGATCACAGCCGCGGGGTCATTTGCTTTTTTGACTAACAATCCAACTGATGTGATGTGATGGCTGTGCAACAGTAACTAAGTACTGTTCCAGCTACAACAACACTACCTCCGATCTCTTCATCATCAGCATCATCACCATCCTCTCTATTTCCAAACTGACAAAAACGGTCTATTCGTCATAACCCCCACCAGCGAACTCTCCCTCGCTGCTGAAGTCTTAAACCAATCTCAAATACGAGTCATCATCGCTCCCCTCCTCCACCCATACAGAGACCCCGCACAGCCCGACCCCAACAAACAACTCCTCCGGCCAGAGAAGTCACAGCCACAGCCACAACTACTCCTCAATCGCTTCCACCAACGTATAATCCTCACCCACACCATTCTCACCACAATATAATCGCATCCACTAATGAAGCCAAACATAACCACCCGCCAACAACCAGACACACCCACCAGCTCGTCCCCGTCACCATCTCCCTGTCACACGCCGTGTAGATAGTTCTCTTTCGACCTAATTCAACCAACGCTGCCAGACTAGCCAAACTTCTCCTAAACGAGTCTCACCTACCCCTAAGAACAAAGAACACTTCCACAATGCCACGAAGATCCCGCGCCCACGACACCATCGAGGAAGATATCTACGGCCGCGAGCGCGATCCGTACTCCCGTCACAGCAGAGGGAGAGACCGACGCCGCCACTTCAAAGAAGAAGAGGAGGAACTCCGGTACGACCGACGAGTACCGCCGCCGCCTCCGCCGCCTCCACCATCAGCACCGCCGATGCCCGTGCCGGTTGAGAAGTTTGAACGGATGCGCATACGGGATGAGAGAGCCCGGGGCCCGGAGATGATGATCCCTGTGGCCCCGGCGCCGCCGGTTGCGTCGCATCTAGTGAGGGAGAGGGAGAGGGAGAGGGAGGAGCTCAAGGCCATGAAGCCCGTGCGTCGGCCGGTGCGAGAGGTTCTTGAACCGAGAGAGAGGACGCGAGGGTTCGAGAGGGAGAGGGATCGGAGGGGGAGGCCGAGGTATCGCGGGGTTGATTTGGAGAAGGAGAGGTTTGTTTTGGAGGAGGAAGAGGAAGAGAGTTCCTCATCGGAGTCGGAGAGTAGTAGTCTCGAGGAGAGTGATACGGAAGAGGAGGAAGAGGATATGGTTATTGTCGGGAGGCACGGGAGGCCGAAGCACGGCCACTTGTCACGAAGTGCAGAGTTGAAAGAGGCTCCGAGAGGGATTCTGCGCAACCCCAAACCAGAGCAGGACGAGTTACTGCTGAAGCGGCAGTATGAGCGCACTCGCAGCAGCGGTCCGGTGTATGCTACTGCTACGCGGACGCGACACAAGCACCGCCATCACCGACATAGAGATCTCGAAGATGCGGACGGTGAGCTCGACGAGGAAGTGGACAAAGAGGAGGTCTTCCGCCGGAAGTATAGGGAGCGCAGACGTGGTGGAGATGTGGTCGAGGAGGAAGAGGAGATCCGACGGTCTTCGTCGGAGATGGAAAGGTCTCGACTTCCGTCGCCAAAGAGATATCCTGCCTTCTCGGATAGGCATGTCTACGACGGTACTTTGCTCTGGCTTCCCTCTCTCCAACTTGGCTATTGGCGCTGACTTCGACTCAGATCACCGAAAGACTCATCGCCCTTGGCTCTCTAATTCAGACCTCCTTTACGAGTCTGAGACCCATCGTCGGTCTGTCCACGCGTCGTTCTTCATCATTGGAGTATGCAGCTAACGCTTGGGTAGGGAGAGGTCCAGAGGACGACTGGATAGGAATGAGATACCTATAATTCGACCCAAGAAAAGGGGCGGTCACCCTCCACCGCATCCGGACCCTTACCGACGTTCGAAAGACGGCCTTCCTCTCGTTGCCCCCGAAGCGAGGTTTGCTGAGCGCGAAAAAGAAGTGCTCACTGTGGCGCGCCGCGACGGCAGCCACGAGTCCCTCAAGGAAGAAGAATTCGTTGAAGAGGACTATTATACGCCTCCAGGCCATCAGCCATTGCCGAAGAAAAAGTCGTTCAAGGAAAAGGATCAACTTGAGGTTATCGGGCCAGTCCCCCGAGCGAAACATGACAGAGCCCCGCCGGACACTGATGCGTTGCGATACCCTGACCGGGATCCAAAGCGTGGCTTTGGTGAGCCCCAACAGTCCGACGAGGACTCAAGCCGTCAGTTTGGTAGGATAGGAAGACGGTTTGTCGGTGTCAAGGACCATCGCGAGCGCCTCTGGACCGAGATCACGAGGGACTTGGTCGTGAAGGAAGCCCTCGAACGGGCGGGCTATGAGTATGAGGAGACAGAAACGTCGTACTTCATCTTTACCTACTTGGAGAAGGTGCGGACGCACTCATGCGCTGCCGCGTCACTGTGAACCCCTAGCTGACTGCTTTCGCATAGGAGCAAGTGGATGCTCTGATCGAGCATTCGGAAGACATTCGCCGCGCACGCCGCCGTCGGGTCCAAGAGATCCACCGCGAGCGAACCTCGTTGCCTCCTCCTACAGCTCCTGGGCCTCCGCCGCCACCGCCGCTGCCTGCATCAGCTACGGACAAGGCCGGCCCCCTACTGCTGGACAGCCCACCCCCACGCTTTCCTCGAGAGGAACGCCGACGAACGGAGCGAGAGATGGTTGCAGAAGGAGGACGCTGGAGGCCACCACCGCCTCGGGCGGAGCGATGGTAATAGCCGACTTCTTACAGAAGCATTACATGAGTGGAAAGGCTGCTGCACATGTGTCCGAGACTGCATTGACATTTCATGTGTGATACCCCGAATGAGTTTTGGATTCCAGTTGGTGAGGTCCATGGTGATCGGTTGGCCTTAAATCCCTTGGGAGCAGCCCTCCATGGCTGGAGCTATACACGACTTATCAATAACTTATACGCTTCAAGACATTACTTAGACGCAGCCGAATTGGAACGGCTTACTGCAGTGTGCACTGCACCAGGTGACTTAATGCTACTTCACAACTCCAATCTCGACGTCTGCTTCACAGTATACGGTAGACCCGGCGTCTGACCCCTTTTCTTTTGCAATGATTCCTTGAGCTTAAGTACAACGACTGGCACAAGCATCATCTGTCTGACTTGTCTTCCTCGATCTCGTATCATGTTACAGCGAAGATCCGATGATAGGTCATAGGACGAATCGGCGCTGGGCCTGAATACATAACTCTGTAGTACCCGGCGACAAACTCGGACGGAGCCTTCCGTCTGACAGATCGAGCGGTGGCTTGTCAGGCCTGTCAGCTGGGACCCCGACCGACTTGATATTTCACTCTACTCTCGCGTGGACAGTCCTGCTCGGCTTTATCAAACCGAAAGGCTCGAAATCTACTCCGTAGGAGTCAATGGAAAAATGACTGAAACAGAGAGGAAGAGAAAGCCTTTCCCAGCGTCGTCTCTCTTTCCCGTACGGAGTACTACACATCACATCAATGTGTCGAGAACCCCATTTCTCTGACTGGGCACCCGTCTGTCTACCCTCAAAGCGAAGCCTCTCTCAGCTTGACAACTGGATCCCACATTACTAATCCCCTCCATCGAACACACAGTAACTTAATCCAGTCCTCCACAGCCGTACGTACCGGTAGTCCACAGTGCCCGCCTTGAGTACAGTTCATACAGTCCATACATAGTATTTACGGCTTCCCAAATTTAGTAGCAAAGCCCAGTAAGCCGGTGGATCAACTTACAAGCCACTAGAGCAAATTAAAAGTGTCCCACAAAGGGGGGTGTGGAGGGGGGCCGATGAGAGACACTATCCGATGACTTATTTCAAGGTTGTCTGTGGCTGCTGCTATTTTTCGCCTTACCGTAGTGGCAGGAGCCGAGCTCGTTGAACGAGCGGGAGTATTCATTAGTTGATGGGCATTATGAGCATTCCATTCTATTTTGGTGATGGTCATGCCGTCTGTCAGTGCTGATATGGAAATAGACATTACGGGACGGAGGACTCGTAGATTGGGGATTGGATCCTTTGGCCCCGGAAGGAATTCTTTTCCCTTGGGTTGAGTTGGGTACTTGTGGTTAGAGGGTTGAGTGGGATTATGGATGATAACTTATAGGGTTGCTGTGAGAGGCGGATATTCGACTGAATTGTCACTAATATACGCCCTATGAATCGGTCTCTCTCTCTCTCCTTTCGCTTATACTCGTAAGATTGAGGGATGAGAGTGATCGGCGTGTGAGGGACTGACTCATCCAATCCTTGTCCACTTTTTATTTTCCATTTCCCCCCCTTCAGCCACTTCTCAGCCGCCTCGCTGGCGGTGTTTCGCATTTGGGAGGGGCGTTGATTACTCGGTCTGGGAGGGATCGTCTATCTGACTTCTGGGTGAGGTGAAGTGTGCCTGTATCGAGATTCCTCGTATAGAGATTTGTGGGAAGATGGCTGGCAGATCCTCGGACACTACTGAGTACGGTACAGTAAGCTAAGGAAACCATCGTCTTGCACCAGCCACATGTTGATGATGATGATGGTGATGATGGAGGTGGTGATATCCCGACGGAAGTCAATTAGGTTTCCTCATTCTCTTGTCAGTGCCACTGTCATCCTTTTGGGGCGTGTTTCATCCGCGGGAGAGCCGTAGCTCCCGCAAACTTCCTCTGCCCCTTCCATCCCTCTTTCATTTCCTGTCTTGTTGGTTTTCCTGTCTTGATGTTTGAGGAATTCGCCCGACTGCTGATACCGCTGGCAGTCTGCTTCAGAAGCGATGGCCACAACAACACCGGAGCTCTGGAGATTGGAGTGGTTTGTTTACTCGTACTCGTAGTTAACTAGTTACTGTGATCCCAAAACCTAAGGACGGGATCTCGGAAGAGCAGCTCCAGTATTGTCGTCATCAACTCTCTTAGCTCGGCGCCGGTGCATGTGCCCAGCAATGGGGTAGATTTGATAACCCGCCATGGATTGGCTGACACGCAGCCCTGCACGAAGGCTACGGTGTACGGAGAAGTTTAGTTGCTTGGTGATGCGTACAGTAGTAGGGCGTACCTCCAGGGATATAGCTGCATGTGCACACAACAATGGGAAGTTAATGCACGGGTGGATGAACATCCCATCCTTTGGACGTTCCGAGGAATGGAGGAATGAACTCCTCAGCCCGCCAGCCCGCCAGCCCGGAAGTTGACTTCTCCGTTGCCCATCATCGAAGCACCACCAACAACATCCCCCACGTAATCATGATGCGCCTACCTACACAACTGCATGGCTGGTCTGGAGATAGCCGAAGCTTGTCTGGCTGTCGTCTCCGCCTGAGTGCTCCAATTGTACGCGGTGCCTGGGGGCTTTGACACGAGGATAATCGAACCTTGGAAGGCGCTGGATGGTGCAGTGGACATTTCCTTGGGTGTGTCAACGGGACTGACCGGCTGCAAACCAACCCCCCTCTCCCCCCATCATCACTTCGCTCCACAACACCCATGGGCACACACCCCCACGGTCGCTCGTTCGAGTCCATGGTTTGGATGCTTCCAGTGAGTTTACGAAAGACGTGGTTCTTCTCATCCCCTCCGCAAGGCACTGAAATCTATCCGAGAGTCTAGATACTCCTGGAGTTCTTTCCCGCCTGTTCCAGCCCCCTCTCGATCATCCCCAGCTCATCAAATACATCAAATACATCAAATACATGTTGTGTACATCACATCATACGCGGACAGCTCAACTCTGGTCAGCTCCGATCCCTTCTAGACCACGGTGTTCCGTCTTGTCTCGCCTGGGCTGCGACTCCACCGGTGCAGATTCTAAGACCAGCAGCTGTCCTGTGCGGTGGCGAGTGCTGCAGCAAGTGGTGCAGTGCAGTGCAGAGCAAATAATAATTGAATGCAATAATACTAAATCTGCCGTTCCCTCTTTCTTTCGGAAGGCCACCACCATCATCGGCCCGGGGCATCAGTCACCGTCAACTGGGAACACGGGAAAGAAGACCTTTTTGCGGTCAGCTTTCAGGCAACAACAACAACTACTCTTTCTGTTTGTTGACATTTGACTACTTTCCTCCAAGCTAAACAGTTACTACTAGTATATTCTTCCAACCGAACACGCCATCTCGATCGACCTAGTCAGCCCTGAACTTCCCATTTATCTCGACCAAGCAAGCTGTAAAGTAGGCCACGCAGTGCCTGATCAGCTCCCACCAATTGACAGCCCCGGATCTGCGTCCGTGGCCTGTTCTCAAACGCTGAATAACTTGGCTCGGGTACAAAAGTGGCTGACCCCAGCAGATCCATCTCCCTTCCACTTTCTCTCTCTCCTTACCATGCAATTTTGTACTGTACGTACGTACTGTCCTCCGTACTTTACGTACTCCCCCGCTGCCCGTCCGTCGTCTCTCGCCTAGCCTGTGTCAGACAGAGTGACGCACGCACGCAGGCGGGCAGAAAGAATAAATTCGCAAATGAAAATCTGCCCCAATAAGACTGAAGTATTGTCGGTATTTCGGTAAGAAGGTCAGAAAAGAAACAGAAGGAGGAAGAGGAAAATTGGCACCGAGGATCGCGGCCGCCCCCATCGCCCTCTCCCACTCCCAGGATGATGTTTCAGAACAAGGATCTATCGCACTGTGTCATGCAGCTAGTGACTGGATCTGTGCCGAATAAACATCGAGGTTTGCTTGGTGGGCTGCCGGTGCTCGCTGCGACTTTAAATTCGGGGGGTTTGTGTGGTTGGTGTGGTTGTCTGGCCGGACTGCGCCTCAACAGTTGTGTGATTGTTTGGATTGTCAGTATGGTTCAGTTATACTCAGTTACGATTGAGCATTGCTTCATTCCTTTGTTCAGATGCTGTTGCTGTTCTGTTATTGTCGTCATAGACCTTTTTGGCCCCCCCTGGATCACCACTTGTGGCCCATTTGCTTCCTTTCTTGCCTTTTGTTTTTTTTCTCCCACCTCCCTCCGTAGTAGGTCCAATTGCGGTGGCGCCGTATTGTAAGTATCCTGTTGAGGACTCCTAGCAGATCGGAATTTGGATTCGGTCCACGTATGGATGTAGGCCGATGGGTACCAGATGGGTAAGGTACGAGGTGTCCACTACACGGTACTGGGGGCGGGAGTCACAAGTGGTTCCAGATACTTCTCTATCTTCGGCCTGAGTCTAATCTCGAGATCGCTCACTGTCAGTTAGTAGTTAAGTGTCAGTCAGTGAGTGATAATACTGATTCTATAGATGGGGAGTGTTGTTTTTTTCATATCAAGGCGGAGATCAACCAGTCCGTCCGTGGTTACCTAGCACCAACTCAAGATAGTCTCTCGACTTAGTACTTAGTACTCCGTACTTCCGTAGTGTCTACCTAGTAGTTAGTCTACGGATAGTGTCGACTGGATGAATCGAGGAGATTGCCTTAATGCTCCGTATCAGCAAAGACGCGTATGGTCCCGACGGTTGGTGAAGCCACTAAACCCGAATGTAGCCTGCAGGGCCCCACTCCCAAGCGGGTAAGCCGGATTTTTATTTTTATTCTTTCTGCCTCTTGTTTTTTTCGGTCCCATTCTTTTTTTGGTGTTGTGGTGTTTTTTGTTTTTTGTTTTTTTTTTCTTGAATTTGTTATTCAGTATTTCCCATACTTCAAAGTACACGAGAATGTAACTTATTGTATGCAGGCGATTCAACCAGAGACATCGCCATGAACTGTTTTTTAATTGCCTTTTCATGGTGGCAGTAGTGCTTGATTATTATCTACGAGTATCTGGAGTCCAGTCTATACTACGTACCTACCGTACACAACAACACCAATTCTAGAGTGATGACTGGCTGACCAGGTGGAACATCGGGACTGAGCCGGATCTGGTCCCATCCTGGTTCTTACATAAGTACCACTAAGACTACGGTAAGACTAAGACTAAGACTCAGACTAACTAAGGACTAAGTCAGTGACTACGACGCCCGCCGCTTCTACTGTGCTGCTTCTGCTGCTGCTGCTGCTGCTGCTGCTGCTGGTCCTGCTGCAGTACGGGTACTGGACTAGTTCGTCGTACCAGAAGAAGACACTAACTTCCTTACCCAGAGCAGTCAAACCAACTCTCCCCCCCCAATCTGTTTAGTTACTTACTTACAACTTGCTTGGATTTCTTGCTTTTCTTGCTTTTCTTGCTTTTCTTGCTTTTCTCACCTTCTCTTACTCTCTTTCTTTCCCTCTTGTTCTCTTGTTCTCTTTCTAGACTCTAAGTGAGCTAGTTCACCAACTAACACGATCGCTTCGTTTGTACTCTGTTCTTCCTTATCTGCGCTGTCTTTCCGGCTCCATACGATCGCTCTGTTCCTTGCCTAGCAAGCCATTCACTTCCTCCCCCCCTCCCCTGTTCGGAGGTGACGATGCCGATAACCTGCTAATCCTACCGGTGTCGCCTCGAATCCTGTACCTTCGATTCTCTCCCCCCCTCCTCTCCCCTCAATCTCTGGCTTTGAGTCCCTTCGCTTGTGAGAACGCCCGCTTCAATTGCTCGTCAAGTTTCCACTGCCTCTCGTTGTCTCAATTCGACCCGGAGCCGTCGTTTGGTCAAATCTCTGGTTGGTATCAGTGCTCGATGTGGCCGCTGGAGTTGGTGGCTGATCGACATTAGCTACTTTTACCTTCAACCAAGCCCAGAAGGAACCTTTGGCTGGACACCGATCCGACCAGCAATTGTGGAAGCTCTAGGTCGTCCCCGATCTCGGCACGGGCCTTGCGCATAACATTCTCCAACTTTGGGGAACCTGCAAACAATTTCTTCAGACCGACTGATCGGGTGATTGGAGGGTGTGGTGACTGCAAAGCGTGATACCTTTCGGACCAGTCGACTCGAATCAAGGAGGTCGCTCTCTATCCCTCTCGAAAATTTCACTTCACTCAGTCCGGTTGTTCGTAGCAGCAGCCTTGAAGACGACTTCACGTCCGATACTTCAACTGCACTCGAGCATCTGATTCCCGGCACCTCCACTGCTGGTGCGATCGTTGCCTGCCATGCGGACTCAGCTTGTGCTCCCGTCACTGCTCGGGGCGATCGCCTTACTCGCCTGGCCAGTGTCGGTCTCCTCATCTATCACCTACTGTTCGTCCGTGAACACGGGATCTTCCCAAGCCGCAAGTATGTCTTCGTTCATGGCAGCTTTCGGCTCGGTTCTAACCGTTGATAGATGAGAGTACGTTCCAGTCAAACGGTCTCTGCGAGGATCATTGCAGTTCCTATGCGTTCGGTATCCTGCAAGGCTACGACTGCTGGTGTTCGAACATTGTTCCGAACTCTGCAACCAATGTGAACAACTCGAAATGCAGCCAAGATTGTCCTGGGTATCCGGATGATAGCTGCGGAAGTACTTCCAAGGGCCTGTATGCCTACGTCGAAGTCGTCGGCAACCAGCCAACAGGCACCGCGACCGTCTCGTCCACTTCAACCACATCAACTTCGGTCAGTAAACCTCTTGGCCGGAACCTTTGTTATCGCACTGGTGAAGGATGTGCATTGCGGGGCTCGATTGGGACCCGGTTCGATCAAGTGAAACCGCTAGGGACCACATCGGACTCGGTCGAGATAAATGCTCTTGATAAGATTGTGGCGCATCCTTGACGAGTCGCGATTCGAAGAGACTGCATGAACAAGACCACCGCACAGACACTGACTTCTCTTAGACATCCTCGACACAATCGTCTTCTACGACATCAGCTGCCACTACAACTACTGGCCAGACTGTGTCGACCGAGACCAATGCTGGGGGTACGGTCAAGACGGTCACTCTTGAAGCACCACAGCCGACCGCGACGGCGTCCAGTACTGGCACGTCGTCCAAGTCCACTAGCAGCTCGGGCATGAGCTCGGGAACGATTGCTGGTATTGTGGTGGGATCCATTGGTGGTGCCCTTGCAATCATTGCTCTGATATTCGTTCTCTTCTTCGCCAAACGCAAGCAGCGTGCGAGCAGCCCTGATCCAAGTGTACAGAACATCCTACTGGACGGAAGACAAAGCAAAGGCTCACAGATGAGTTTCATGAAGGGCATGTTTTCCGATAACCATAGTCATACGCTATCGGCCGGATCGTCGATCGCCGCCCACCGTCTGCCGACCTTCACGGACAACCGCATGAAGACCGATACCGTTCTGTTTGCCAATGGTCGTCGTGACAGCGATGCATCGCTGCAAGACAACGAGGACTATTCTCGTCCTGTTCTCCGGGTCAGTCATGTGTTTTGTTCTGATGATGCTATGTCTCAGGCTAACGATAATCCTAGCTCACGAACCCGGACTAGAGTATCAGTTGATGGCCGACCGAACCCGTCTCCTTGCGTTTGTTTCTATTGCATTTGCGCTCTCCTATGTCTCTGTCCATTTTCGATTTGCGTGTTTTCGGCGAAAACAGCGGTGTTATGATACCCATTTGTCACATAATCCTCTCGACATTTCACACACATTTTTATTCGACTGCCTTGGGAGATGATGATGAGCTCGACCCACCACACCATCTCCGCCACCGACCAACCACCCGGTTCCTCGCTATTTCTCCCCTTTTCCGCCGACCGAACCCCGCTTTTCCCAGCCAGCTCACTTTTACTGACCAGCCAACCGACCGACTGCATTGCACCCCCTCTTTCTCCTCGATCATCTACGCGTCATGTATTTTTGACCGATGACGCCATGAACCTCGGTCGGAGAAAGGGGGAAAGGGGGGGAGAGAGAGATCCGAGAGGAGGATACTATCCCCAGCGACCTCACACAACCTCACACAGGCATCCTTGATCGGCCAGGGCCCGGAGGAAGAAGTCACGGTCGCTTCAGTGTTGCAGTGCAGTGCAATGCATGCAGGCCTCCCATCAATTGTCCGCTTGATGTCGACAACCACACCTCCTTTCAACACCCCCTTAAACTCCTCTACAACCTACCCTCGCCATTTCAATGGTCGAAGTTCGTGTATATCGACACACAGGACCTGTGCCACCAGCACAGGCTGCAGTACATACTCTAATAGATTAGCAGAGTCCTGATATTATGCTCTTTGCCTTTTCTTTTTTCTTCTTCTTTTTCTGTTGTTACCGTTTTCTGTCAGTGTCAAAGCTAAGCTAAGCTGTACCTGAACCGTTGTTTTTCTTCCTGCGGCCATCTGTGCACACCTTGAAAATTGCATTGTTTAAGACATTTGTTGATTGGCCGGTGGCAGCTGCGCTGAGCACCATGCACCCAATGGGCCTGTAATATCCCGCCACCATGTGAATTACTCTAGCCTCGATGTATGGACATTAGCTCGATTATTCGATATAGATCATCGTGAAATATACAGCCTGCGGTTGAACACCTGAACCACCTGGAAATTGTGTGCGGGTACATCCGTTCCACCAACCCATCGATGAGAAAACCTTCCTTCTGTCGAAACAAATGACGACACAGTTGGTGATAAACACGCGTGCGTTTCAAGGTTCCTGGACTTCCCTTCCGCCTCTGGTAGGTAGTCTAGTGGCCGGCTCTTTTCTCCATCGTCCTAGGCACGCGAGAATTTCCAGATGCCCACCCACTCTGCCCACCTGTCCCCACTTATTACAGACACAGACACAGACACAGACACAGACACAGACACCAGACTCCTGAGAATTGTACATACGTGTACGGGTATTCATCCTCCTCCTGACTGGATCACTCACATACTCATCCAAGTGCATACCATACATAAACGACTAATTCCCTCATTCCGAGCCCGAGCCTCGAAAAAAAGAGAAGCGGGTACCTGCATTGACTACAAGTACAGTACAGTACATCTCAATATCTCCCTCGCCAGTCGCCACCCCGATCATTCCCTCACAATCGGGTGTTTGGGGGAGTGTAGAAATGATGTCATGGGTTTGATTGTGGATTGTGTAGCCACGGATTCCTTGCCGGTGTTGGTTTCGTGCCGGATGATTGATTAAGCATGAGTTGACTAAGTTGCCGGTAAGTTCGCTTTCGTTTTAGATCTAACGTTAGGTGGTTGATCCAGGGTTTGAGGGTGGGATTTGGCTTCTTGCTTTGTGGGTGGGAGGGGGGTTTTTTCTTTGGTTGGATATAGGAGGGTTTGGATTTGGGTCTTGCGTTGATGTTGATGTTGGTGTTGATGTTGCTATTGGGGTGGGGGTGGGGTTGGGTTGGGTAGAGGATTTGGAGTTGGCTGAGGGTGTGGGTGGTGATGCTTTTGATGTTGTCTGGTGTATGTTATGTGCTTTGAGGGCTGGGGGATGGTGTTTAGGTTGTCTGGGGGCGGTGGAGGGGTTGTAGTGGTGGTGGTGGGGGTTGCTTCCTGTGGAATGTGAGGACACACATAGTACAATCCTAGCGACTTCTCTCTAGCTGGACGGGTCTACGATCACCCTTTATCAAGATATGTATGCCATGCCATGCCATGCCATGCTACATAGTACCTATATGTATACCCTGGATGCACTCTCCGGACTGTACAGATGCATGCACCAATCTGCAACCAAGGTAGCACATGACCTGGCACCGGGACAGCTTTACCCTTCCAGGAAATGCGGAGTGTCGCCTCGGTTTTTTCCTCTTCGGTCCAATTGATCCAGACTGGCACCACCCTACCACCCTCCCAACCACTGCAATGCGCTGCACTCTGTGCCATTCCGACAAAAGTGGTATCCTGTCCTCGGGCCCGGATAGCGGTCAGCTGCGGTCGAGGAGATACTGTCCTGCATGTACTGTACTGTACCGTGCCTATCTTGCGGCCAGAGGTCCCCCGCATCCCGCTGTGATAACAACCGAGCTTGGTTGGATATCGTAGCTATCTACTCCGTACTCCGTAGTGTCTGTATCTCTACCTTGACACGCTCGACCGCAGTTACAATGTAGGTCGAGGCGGAAGGAGACTACCCAGTACCTTGGAGAGGTAGCTGCACTTCGCCATCTCCGTCTTTCTCAGATGGAGGGATAGATAGATGCAAAGGTGCTTGAGCCATCAAGTCACTGCATGGCGCTGCTGTCTCGTAGTGAAGCTGCAGCTGCAGCTGATAAGCAGTACAGTACATCCATCCAGAGACGAGAGACTGATACGCAGATAAAGCCCAGAGTCCAGCCAGCAAATCATCTCATTCTCTACATTCCCACGCTCCAATCAGCGCGGGGTGCATACCCTGCAGTGGTGTCTCGACCATCCTGCACAGGGGGAATCCACCACGGGGCAATGGCCACTCCCTATCAAACCAGACCGGACTGGACCAAACCAAGCTGCATGTCATGGATGTGCTGCTCCCCGCGCCCCCTTATCATCTCTGCGTTCGCGCACCCAACACAGTAAAAAGCCCTTTGCATGCTGATCACCACCCCCCCTCCGAGCTTCAGACCGGAAACGGTAGATCGATACGAGTCGCTTGTTACATACATACATGTCCCCCCCGCTTCCCTTTCGAGGTGATATGAGGTCGGTGGTGGAGCTTTTTGTGTCTCTATGATGGGGTGATGGGGTTGCCTTTATAATGTCGGTGCGTCCGGATGAGGTTTTTATCTGTTTACCCTGTCAAGCCTGGCTGCGCTGTCTACCCTCTACGCTATCTACGCTGTCGACATAGCAGGATAGCGATACGCAACGCTGGGAAAGTCTGGAGTCTAGCGCCGATTTATTGAAACAACACCGATGAGACGGGGTTGGAGCTATGGAAACAATGTTTGACCGAAGCAACGTATGGCTGCTCGGCCTCTTCATGGTCGCTGTCTCGGGGGTGTATCTTGCGGTGAATAGACTGCAAGGCCGCAGCAGCACCTCATTAATGCAGCGACTGCGCAGCTACGCCCGATCGCCAATCAGCACACGGCCGTCCTCGCCGGCGTCGAACGAGAAACAAGCCGCCGCGAACGGGGGGCCGTCCTACGTGGACGCGCTCCCGCCGCCGCGCCGGCAGGCGCTGGCCGCGCTCCCGCTCGCCGTCCCCTACCAGGCCATCGACGAGGAGGAGATCAAACGGCACATGCTGCCGATGACGGCCGACTACCGCACGAGCCCGGACCGGCGCTACACCCCGACGGGCTTCTCGGTCGCCGAGCTCAAAGCCCTCGGCGACTTCCCGGACTACGCGACCCTCAGCGGCGTGCCCCTGCCCCAGCCATACCGGGGTTTCGACATCAACCGGGCCCGGCCCCGGCCCTATCGCCCGTTCCGCTGGGCGTACCATCAGACCATGTGTATGTTCCCCCTCCAACCATAGACCCGGGGTGAAAGGCTGACTCTTCCTGTGTTACGGGGGCAGCCCTCACGAAGATGGAGACCGACTGGTGGATCGAGCTCGAGAGCACCTACCGCGCGCGCATCGCGCAGCGCCGCGCCCTGTACGCGCAGCACGGCAGCGGCGTGCTGGGCGCCCTGCCGGGGTCCGAGCTGGCCTGCAAGGAGCTGATGGAGATGGTGCTGCAGTTCGTGTGCGCGCGCTACCCGCAGTACTTCGCCCTCGAGGACCGGCGCATCTTCCACAACCGCATCCTCGGCGTCTCGCAGGACGTCACCGCCGCCCGCCACCCGCTCGAGGTGCTCATCGACCACATCCCCGAGGACTTCGGCATCATGCTGCGCGACGAGACCACGGGGTACTACTTCCTGCGGGCCGGCGTCGTGTGCTCCTCGCTGGGGTGGAATGTCGGCAAGAAGATCGGGATGCAGCTGCATGAGATCCACGAGACGATCCCGGATTATAAGGAGAAGATGCGGTTTTCGATGGATCGGTGGGTATCCCTTTTCATTGGGATGGGGGTGAAACGTGTGTTGGGATGCGGCTAATGTTGATATCCGGACAGGTTCTTCACCAAGATGCCCGCCGATAAGCCTATTCAGCGCGGGTCCTGGGGTCTGGAGGTGGGCGAACCCCTGTACATGCCCCAGGGCGATCCGCACGAGGTGTTGCGGCTGTCCCAGGACCCGGCCCTCAAGCTGGAGGACTGCAACCTCCGCGTCGACTGGCAGACGCTGCGGCGGCTGCCGCTGTCAGCGGCCGTGGTCTTCAACTTCAAGGCGCTGTTCACCCCCGTCACCGAGTTCCGCGACGAGCCGGGCGTGCCGGCGCTCGCGGCGACGGTCCTGAAACACGGGAAGAAGAATCTGATGGAGTACAAGGGGACGTGGCATGTAGAGCACGTGGTTCTGCCGAATCTGGAGAAATGGGCCCAAGAGCAGGAGGAGAGTGGGTTGGTTCCTAAAGGTTGGGAGGTCGCGACTCTGGAAGAGAGTCCGTGGTTTAAGGGGTGGCAGGACAAGTGGCATCGGCAGCAGGGGTTTTAGAGTATTCTCGTGGTTATCTGGTGATTAAGCTGGGTGGCTTTTGTGTATTGATTGGTGGTTCTCTTTGTTTAAGTTGGGATGTAGGTGAGACTAAGACTTAGGTATCTCTGAATGCCCATTAACTTGTATCTTCCCT